ACATGAGGACATGAGGGACACAGGGACATGGGGACGTGGGGACATGGGGACACAGGTAGTGGAGATGTGGGAACATGAGGACATGAGCGGCATGGGGACATGGGGACATGTGACACAGACACACGGGGACATGGGGACACGGAGACACACGGGCACACGGGGCCGAGCCGCTGGCGGCGCCGGCAGCAGCGCCGTACCCGGTCAGACATGAGGGTGGCGGCGGCGCGGCCGATCTCCCGGTAGCTCAGGCGGGGGCTGTCGGGTCCCAGCAGCGTCAGCACGAAGCGCACCGGGAGCGGCGCCGCCAGAACCGCGTCCAGCGGCACCGCCGAGCGGAGCCGAACCAGAGCCAGAGTGGGCTGCTCCAGGAACGCGGCGCAGCCTGCGGGGAACGGGGGGTGAGGGGGGGCGGGTGGGGGTGGAGGGGCGCGGAGATGGGATATGGGGTGGGATGTAGGGGCGTTGGGACCGGGGGGGAGGGGCAAGGGGGGGTGAGGTGTGGGGATATGGGGTACGGGGATAAAGGGATATGAGGGATGGGGATACAGGGATATGGGGTATGGGGATATATGGGGGTACAGGGATATTGGAATGGGGACACAGGGATATGGGGAACGGGAATACAGGGATAGTGGGTATAGGGATACAGGGATATGGGGAATGGAGGTACAGGGATATGGAGGATGGGGGTACAGGGGTATGGGGTATGGGGATATATGGGGATACAGGGATATTGGGAATTGGGGATACGGGGATATAGGGAATGGGGGCACAGGGATATTGGGAATGGGGGTACAGGGATATGGAGTATGGGGATACGGGGATATGGGGAATTGGGGGTATTGGGAAGGGAGGGTGTAAAGGTATTGGGATGTGGGGGCATAGGGACATTGGGAATGAGAAATAGGGATATAGGGAAACGATGGGGATATGGGGATGTGGGAAATGGGATGTAGGGGTGTTGGGAAGCAGGGGGTGTAGGGACATTGGGATGTGAGGGTGTAGGAACGTTGGGAAATGAGATATAGGGGCATTGGGGTATGGGAATAGAGGGGCATTGGGAAGTGAAGGTGTAGGGAAGTGGGGGTATAGGGACACTGGGAAATGAGAAATAGGGATATAGGGAAATGATGGGGATATGGGGATGTGGGAAATGGGACGTAGGGTGTGGGGAAGGGGGGTGGAGGGACATTGGGATGTGAGGGCGTAGGGACATTGGGGAGTATAGGGATGGGGGAAATGGAATATAGGGACATTGGGGTGTGAGGGATATAAGGACACGGGGAAATGGGGCTGTAGGGACGTTGGGAAGTGGGACGTAGGGACATGAGAAGTGGAGCTGCAGGGATGCAGTGATGTGGCACAGGGAACAGACGCAGGGACACAGAATGGGACTGGGGGGGGGGGGGG